CGTCTAAATTGTAGCGTAAACAATATCTTAATACAATATAGATACAGTATTGATTGTCAACACATTGTTGCAAAAACATGTTACAGGTCATGTAGATGCAAAGAAAATAATGTAGTGATATAATGTGTAGTAGTAGTGATGGCTAAAGATTAATTTGTATGTTCAAAATATATATTTTACATAAGATAAAAAGGTGTCATGTTAATAGCTATAATGAACTATACTAATATGATGAAATAATCGTAGAATTTTTTAAGCTTAAAGAGCTCAATTATTTTAGTAGCATTTTTACATTAAATATACAAGAATCAATGAGMTACAGCATATAACAAGCATTCAAAAGTCTCAGTAAGTCTATTACAAAGAATTCAAATTTATAATAACAAGTAAAAGCATAATGCTTGAACAATTTGTTCTCATCAGAAAATCATACAAATGTTCATTTGTAATATACATTTTTGTAAGTACTGTTTCAGTATTTTATAAATGATATGCACAGTGTCTATTCGATAGTAACGTCAACGGTCATACTCTTTATTGWTACAGGCCAATACTGTGTTCTACCGAGGAATACCTACAAAAACGATATTACAAAATAARAAACTTGCACGTTTGCCGATCAAATGACKAATGATCAGCACACAATACCCATTACGGCACATGGGTAACTCGTCAATAAACATAGTCGCTAACCAAACAACAAGAATCGACCGCAATTCAACCAACTCGTCCACCAAACAAAATGAAAAACAACATCTCGGCGCATATGCGTACCTGTTCGTGCTGTCGTTCCTTGTTTTCGTGGTCAAAAACAACCGTGTCGTCGTCATCGACGCCGATGCCGATTCCGCCGCCGTCGATGCCGATGCCGTTGTCGCCGTCGACGCCGCCGTTGTATTCGGCACAATTGTTATGTTGGGCCGCGGATTGACAGACGGCCGCTTGCGGACCGTTCGCACCGTCGGTCGCGTTCACCGCAACGGTAATGCTCATGGTTTTCTTTAAATTTTTAGCAAAAAAAATATATTATATCTCTCTYGTAACGAAAAAAAAAAATGTTCTCAAGACTCGTATGCGCGGGCGCGTGAGTGTGTGCGAGTGTGTGGTGGTCAGTGGATAATATGTTGATGATATCGCGTCTAGAGACACACACGGGGTAAATGGACGCGATCGGTCACGCACGCACAATAACAACGCGTCGCATGCCTGATAACAGAGACGGAGTTGCGAGCGGCTTGGCAGTCCGTGCAGACAGTGGCGAAGCGTAGCATAAAAATTAAAAATATGGTGTTGTCGTTGGAACAACATTACGACTCCTCCTCCTCTTCCCTCTCGCAATCATAACGACGGTGCTGCACCGTTGACGGCGATGATATTGTGCATTTCTGATTTCAACGTTCGTTCATTAGTTTATGGTTTGTTTGTTCCTTCTTGCATATGCCTCTATAGTCTATGGTTCGTCCGTCAGCGTGCAGACGGTGCGCTGTGTGCGCAACTACACTGCACGTCTGCACTCATGGTCGCCGTTGGCGCAGCCACCTCGCGGCGCACTCTACGTAATGTTTGTTGTCGTGAGTCGTGAACTCTTGACGCAACATTTAGAGGGAAATTTTTAAGTTTATTTTGTTATTTCTTAGATGTTAGRCATTAGTTATTTCGTAAAATCGTAACGAAAGAACACGAAAGGAAAAATAATGATGCTACTACATAGAAAAATATCCATTTATGTGTTATTTGCAACTTGTCGAGTGGGTTTTGAACAAAATATGTAAAGTTTTAAATACATGTTGGTCGGCTRTTCAATTCCTAAACATTTAAATACTAAAATTATCCAATTAATTGGTATTCTTAAGATTAACTTACTCAAAACAATGGTCTAAAATCAAAATAATAATATTACCTAAACAAGTAATGGTTATGACTTTATGAGCAACAGTGATTAATGTGCATAGAGCCCATAATAGTGGTCAAGAATCATGAGTCACGGATCACAAATATGAAACAATTTGTAAAAACCGAATTAATTATCTAAAATGTTTGTATCGAGGAGTATCAATTCACCTTTGTAAAAATAATAATAATTGTGTTGAGAAATATTTATTTCRCGAGTTATTTATGTGCATATTACTAACCAATACTTCCAACTTATTTTTATACACATTCGAACTATACAATTTATTCCAATTTTGATTTATATGGTACTCCATTTATA